TATCCTTAAATTTAAGGAACTGCTCGCCAAAATGACCGAATACAGCTGACAAATCTCGCAAAATACGTAGCATTCACTATGAAGTTTTTTAAGCGATCGTAAAGTTTATTATCTTAATTTCATATGATTATGCATCAGACTTTAGAAATATCATAGGCCAATGTTGTTTATTAATATAAATACTGCAAGTTTGATTTGCTGTGTAATATATGTATACCATGGCAGGCGCTAAAAAAGTATGCATAAACTTAGACAAAAACAGCAACAATAACAAAAGCAATTTGTATAACTTATTACACTCACCGGTATATAATTCCATGTACGCGCACTTCTTACATTAAATTCCACTGATAAAATCCCATCCGAACGAAATTAAGCACACTTCCGGCTCTATGTTGTGTAATCATCCAGGTCAAGTGAAATAAACATTGATTTAATGAACGCGTGAATTAATGACCAATCAAATTCGATTACATCGGGAAATCCATTTAGGTCATTCCTTTAAATTATTTATGTAATTGGTAACCTAACATCCTAATATATAGTATTTTTCGCTTTTCATAAGCGCATGTCGTAAATGTAATTGTAATTTTTTAAACCACGCCTTAAAAATTAGCATTGAATGAAAATCATGATTCTCGTGCTCGAACGAGAATGGATAGTAAAAGTTGTAGTAGTAATTTTCCCACGGCAAAATGATTTCACTTCGCACCATGATAGCAAAATCTTTTTAAGCTGTATTTTTGTTCTTACTGTTTTCCTATTGCTGTAAATTTCAAATAGTACTTCTGTATGTATAGGTGTGTGTGTGTGTGTGTGTGTGTGTGCGTGCGTGCGTGCGCGCGCGCGTGTGTGTTTATGTATATGCGTAACAAATATATTATTTCTGTTTGTGCGTGCGATTGTGTTAATTTTTCCCTGATTTCTAGATAACTTGAGATTAAATTGTCAAAATTTGCAAAGACATATATATATATTTTAGCACTTGTGTTAAAAGCTTATAATATTTACCTATGAAATTTGTATGTTGATAATATCCACTTTCCCCACATGAAACTTAAATTATGATACCCATTTAACATTTAATATTGATATATATATTTGTACACATGTAATTACAAAATGTCACCTTGTAATCTGTGCCTCTCAAATAAAGATTCTAATCTGTTCTGTTCTGTTTATTGTATTAATAGTTATTGGCGAAGAAAGAAATGAAACAAAAGTAGCTTTAAAAAAAGATACTCTGTCAAAGTAAAACTGGTTAACTAGCATATGTTAGTTCTTAATTTTCAATGCAAAGCCATATATAAATGTTATCACGGCTTGCAAGCAATAATTTCTTGTAGATCTTTGAAAAATAAAACACATCAAAAATATACGATTCATTTTGTACTAGTTATATATTTTTGTACGGTTTCGTTTGAGGTAGCTGATACTGAGACTACACATTATTAATAATTTAATAACAAATTTTGATAGAACCATTTGAAATATTTCATTCTTAGATCTTCGAATGAAGTGACATTTGTCCTTCAAGTACACTGAAAAGAACATACTATAAAAACACTCCTATAATTTAAATGAGTGTCATAGAACTAGATATTGAAATTAATCGTATGCAAGCTTTTGTACAAATTTAAGGAATAGCTCAATTATTTTATATTCAGGGGAAGGCCCGTGTTTTAGAACGTTTAGCCCAACCATTTAGTATGTTCATTTCATGATTATATTCGTAAACTTGTGAAAATGTTTATTGTGAGTATAAAATATTATTTAGTTAAAAAGTATTATTTCTTTCCAAGGGAATTTTTTGCTTACTATGCTATAAAAAGTGTCTCGAATCATGTGGTTTACTTTAAAAAATCAAAATATTAATGTTACGCAAGGTAATTTTGTAATAGAATGTTTTGAAAATAAACAAGTGTCGGTCGATTAAACACTGACGTGTTTCGTTGTCTCGTATCTGTTGTTATGTAACCAATTTCCTTAGAAATAATTTGTAATCAAGTTTATGTTTAATATTCACTTTTATTTCCTCTATATATACAAAAATAGAAGATTTATACACAAAAAATAGAAGACATAAAACAATATTATGCAAGTCTCTCTCAAAAGCAAAGAAAACTTTGAAAATGCAATTCTAAAAAAGGGATATGCTACTTCCTGCAAGTGTATGACAACAGTATTTGACGTTTACATTTTATTTCCTTATACAAAGATTCTCTAACTGACACCACTGTAAAAATGTTACAAGATTGAATAACTGATTGTCACACAATGACTCTTTAAGATGACAATCAATTTTAAGGTTTGGCTTGTTTGTTTTGTGCCGCTTGTAGAACAATTTCGTCATAATCTCCGCTGTCTGTCCAACAAACCGACTTTCTCCGAAAGTGACCGACTATTATAATTATGATTCTTGAATCAGCGACGGTGAGAGACAAATGACCATTAAACTCGACGTCCGAGTTAAATTATCACGGCAAAATTTCGCGGTTCGATCTTGCAGCCCTGAATAAATATATGAAGTTGTTAAATGTTTTCTAAGAGATGAAGCAAGAGCTTATTTTTTTATCGAATGTACATGGTATAAATATTTCGTGGCATAACAATTGATATTCTCACACATATTTATCATGTATGTACAGTACTTAGAAAAGAATGAAAAATATACTAAATTTATCTAGATTTTTTAGCTGCAAGCTGCCGTATAACAAGCAAACAACAATACATGTGACAACTGTTCCATATGTACAAAATATACATATATTTGTGCAAACAACATACGAGACTGGTTCCAATTTTAAATTCAAGAATTATTTGTAGTGTGATATAAAAAATAAATGGGAAGACTAATGGAAACAAGTACAAATGTTGCTGCAATGCATGTGAAGCTCTTTTAAAATGCAACACCTGCTCGTTTAAACTTTTTATCTTATCTTCTAACGGATCCATTTTAATAACAATAGATTAAAACGCAAACATGTGGCATGCGCTCTTTTAACAAATATTTTGTGATGAAATATCACTAATCTGAAATTTAAAATTAGACAGGTTAAGGATCTATGCATGACGTTAAAACGTAGCAAGTCTCACTTTGACTTGATTTCATTTAATGGAATAATTGGACATGTTTACGAGGACTGGCTTTTTATATGATTGATGAAAGAACTGAATGCCTTAAGGTCATACAAATTGGATTACTACTACCAGAAATTGTATATCGGAAAATAAAGCATTCCTGTGTTTCTCGAAATAACGTTATTGAAATGTGACGAAATTACTTATAATTCTGAAAAGAGATTTCTGTAGTTAATTTCTACTTATTTCTACTTATTAAATGGTCGCTTGAAGACAAAATAATTACATGTAACAACTTATTTGCCTTATATTGTACATTTATACTAGTGGCCCATATCAGGAAATAAATAAGTTCTTACTTCCAGAACTTTATATGCAGCTTTCTTACATCATTTCTATCATCTGATGCAGCAAAATCTCAGAATAACACACTTTGTTCAACCTTGCTTCCCTTTTCACAATTAACTCAGTTTGTGAATTGTTAGATGAACAATTCTCTCGACATCATTTCTTTCTTTCTTTTCTAATGTGTTGGGTTTTACGTTGCACCAGACCAGTATATTAGGTCATATGGCGGCTTTTACAAGCTTTACTGGTGGCATTCCGTGCATTATTATCTGACACATTCTACGAAAATCTTTCTTAACATTAGATTTACATAAGTTAACAAGTGTAACCTCACATTAATTGTTTGTTTCGGTTTCGGAGTATAGGTTGTTATCAGGTGTAAGTAAGCAACACCAAAAACAATATTCTTGAAAATTTAAACACATATTTTAAAGTGTCATTGACTGTAAACCACTTGTCTCACGCCCCTATAGGTTCGTGTCGCGCTACAGTCTTCGTAATCTTCTTGTGAGACGCTATTAAGCTATCTTTTGGAACGCATGTGGTTCTACCCAGGTGCCCGTTTGTGTTTGAACTAATGTCCAGAGAAAGACACCTAAGGTCTTTCTCCACAAGTAAAGCTGGAAAGTCGCAATTTGACCTATTCGTCAAAAGAAGAAACAATAATTGAAAATAGAAGGGAGAAATTATGTGTTCTGTCGAAATAATTGCTGACGAGTTTATTCCAAAATCAATTTAAACAATTTTAGTGATTAAAGTTCATTTCTATCCTCGGTAGAATTATGAATTAACAACTTAATGTTCGTTTATCTTGCTAATGTTTTTATCTGAAAAAGGAAACCGACTTAAAAATGTCCTTGATATCATAGCATCTTCCGCAATATGATTGCGCCAACAGTCGTAAAATACTTAATTATTTGTGTCATAAAACAACCGTAAATAATAAAGGTAATTATCTTGCTATTTATACCAACCATGAGGTTAATGAGGATAATGGTGTTTATCAGTAGATGATTTTGCTAATTTCCATATATTTGTCTTCTTAAGTATAAAATCCAGCGTTTCCATTATTATCTATCAATAATTCAGTGAAACGTTGGTCTGCACCTCAATGTCGACATTAAAAACATTTTGAATATCTCGCTCTTATTGTAAATAAAATATGACAAGATCACTGTACAAAATAAATTTTAAATTTGGCCAAACAAGTCATTGGTAAATATACATGTAAAATGCACATTGTAATGTGGGTTGTATATACTATAATAGGCAGTAGTTAAACACCACATTTAATGTTGTTCAAACTAATTCGGTTAGTATAATATTAGGCTAGGCATTTTAGCCAAAAATAAGACCCAACCTCAAACAAATTCCTTCAGAAAAGATATTTGCATATTTGTTATCTACTATATATGTGTTGCTACAGGAAAAAAGTCCTCAAAAAAAATCGAAGTATAAAATGCTAAAAATGTCATGTTTTGAAATCATGTGTTTTCAATTAGAATAATCTGTGAAATTAAATAACCCAGATATTCTACGCAAATATGGTAATTAACAAAGTAACACATTAATACACAAACATGCTTTATTTAATCCAAAACATTTCAACCAATGTTGATTACATTCAAAAAGTCGCAACACTGCATAATCTATACATCATCATTTAGACTGGTATAAAACATTACCCCACCCACTAATGATAAATATTTTTTTTTACTTTAAGTCAGATTCCATTAAATATTCTTACAAATTAGCTCTACCAAGATTAAAGTTGTATGAATCTATCTAAATTCATATTATAATTCAAAATTGCAATACATTTTACACAAATAATTATTATAATTATTATTTATATACATTGTATTTGCATTTCTGTTCTGAAAATCAATCCTTCAAGTAAATATCTTACCAGTGCTAAATTGCACTTACTTTACCATGGAAGTTTTGTAAAAAAAAATATTGTAAAAAGACATTTTAAAATAAAATGAATCTTGAACTGAATGTTAAGACACTGAAAAAACACAATGTTATTTCATCATTTTTGTCACCGAGGCCCGACTATCCATATAGTCTGACAACGCTACACATGTATATATACATATTGCCCTGCCCTTGTTCAATGCTGAAATTATATCTCCACTTTTTCGGCCGGTGCTGTTGAAACCTTTAGCCTGCCCTTTTCACAGAGACACATTGTTTCGTATCTGTAAAATTGTTACAACATAATATGATAAATAAAAATGCGAACTTTGCATTCTGCTTTTAAAATAAAACAATTTTATGTCAAACTGAAAATGTAGGTACATGTACTATGAAAAGCAAGATAGGATTTAGATATATATTTTTATATTGAATTATCTACAAATAATTCATACATTAATGAGGCACGTTTAGCCTCAGCAAAAACGTGCCTCAGCTTTCTTCTTTAGAAAATATGTTTCATGTTATGTTGTTATAACAAATTTAAAGCATGTAAATTGCCTATCGGCTGAAAGAAGCGCTGACTGTGAAACATCATAATGTGCCATATAAGTAGGAAATACTGAACAAAACGGCACCTATACTTTCATACAGATAACTAAATTGGAAGTTTTGGTCGAGTGTTTAAGGTCACTGACTTCAAAACACTTGCTTCTTACGGTGTTAACGATGTAGGTTCGAGTCCTGTCTGGGTTTTGGAATCTATTATCTGACATAGCTATCCCAAACTAGCTTATAGAATATTGGTGGTTCTACGCGCTAAAAATAATACCTATGTCACACTTTTTCCTTCACCAGTAAAGCTTGAAAGTTATTATATGACCTGTAAAGTGTTGATGTGACATAAAAACCAACAAACAAATCTCTGATCTTAGTAATTCCGAGAATGTAAGAAAACTGCAGTTTTGGACACTAAAAATAAAACACTTTTAAAAGAAAACCATTTAACTTTTACAAATGTGAATTCCCTTTAGAAAAGTTATATATGCAGTAGCACACAAAATTGAATCTGGTACACCAACTGTGTATTAAAAATATAGAGGGGTTTTCTTTGATTTACCTGTTAATTGCTTTTCAAAAATGCTGGATCTTTTCAAACAGAACCCATTTAGCCTCTCCTTACTTGGAAATATGGAAAGCTCTTGCCACATCCAATCAACGGATTGATTGATTTATGTTTGCCAAAATATAAAAGGCTGGACTCTCGCTAAATACATGTATTGTCTTCTGCAATCAACCATCCCATACTATGTTTAGCCCTTCCTCTGAAAATAAGATATATAAGTCCATAAAACATCAAAAAGATATTAAAAAGAAATAGTATTGAAATGATATACATGTAGTAGGGAAACGCCTGAGAAAATGTTGGTATGAGCAAACTCTTTTGTATGTGCATTTATTATAATCATGCTGTAAAACAATGATGTAAATTTGTGTTGATATATCAATTTCTGTTGTATTACCAAACCTGAAAGACACCCAATTGTTTTGTTTTCATTCATTCAATAAGATATATCTACGTAAAAAACATTTTTCTCTCACATCCCATTACCCCTTGTGTAGAAGTCACGAGTCTATCCATCTTCTAACTAATTATACAACAACTGTTCTATAAATGCTGACAACAACATGGAAAACATTACTTAAAATATACATACAACTAGCACTGGTATCGTGAAGGTAGATTATCAAGCTACACAACATTTTATTTAAAAGAAAACAATTGAAGCAAATTTAATATGTTATAATAAGAATAAAATGGTTTAGGGTCGGAAAAGATATGATTAAAATCTATATCAAATGCAATTTTGAAGTCTGGTCTGTTAACACCTCATTTTAATTTTCTCTTTGAATATGTAATCTTAGTATTTAAGTAAATTTTGTGTTTTAAAACCATTTTGATAAGTGAAATCTATTGCATTTTGACATAAGATTATTAGACTTATCCAAATTGTCTAGAATGATAAAATAAAAATAGTTAAAACATAAGATATAAAACTGTGTAAAGAACAGAACAGAACAGAATTTTATTTTGGATTTGTACATATATTGTAGTGATGATGCACATCACTACAATATAAATACACAAATTGTAAAGATGTCACGTTTCTATTTAACAAATAATATAGGATTTTATATATATTATTGAATTTCATGTAAAGCTAGAGAATGAACAATAATGATTTAAGAGAATATTTAATATTAACACTTTAATATAAAACAATTTGTTACGCAGAGTATACAACAAATCAATTGAATTTTTTGTATAAATTTGTAAGAAAAGTTCAAAATTCAGTTGTTAGTACTAACAATAATGTTCCTGATTTTAATCGATTCTCTCAAATATTTAGCTAGATTAGTGAGTATAATTTTATTATTAGAAGAAATCAGTCCAATATTTACACATTGACGGACATTTGTAATAATATTGTTTCACATATATTTTTCCTTATGTCAACATAGCATGGGCATATCAAAACAAAATGGTATTCATCTTCTTACAACATAAACAATATCTTTCACTCCTTGGGATTCTATTCTGACCATATAACCCGTTTGTACTCTTAGTGTATGTGCAGACATTCTAATTCTTGTGATGTAAAATCTAAGATCCTTTGGTAATATGTTAAGATAGTTTTCGTATGAATATAATTCTTTACAATTTTTATAAAGTTCTAAAACAGAATTATTTTCTACAGATGAATGCCATATTTGTATATAATTATCAATAACTCTTTGTTTAAATATTTTTGGAAATAATTTACTATCTACGATATTATTTTCAAAAAAGTATTCGGATAAACCATATATATCTAGCATTTTTTTAACATTTGATACCCAGTTTTTTACCTTTATAACAGTCAGATAAACTTAATTCATATGTTTTCCGTAAAATTATATTATCAGTATTTATCAATTTGCACCAAAACTTAATTATTCTTACGTATCGATTTATATACAATGGGTAACGGCCGAGTTCGCCGTATATACGAACATTGCTTGTATTGGCTCTAACATTTAAAATTCTTTTACAATACTTCAAGTGAATACGCTCAATTATCTTATGATTTGCTATAACCCCATACTCTCAGATGCATATGATATGATTGAACCTACAAAAGAATCAAATAATTGACATAATAATTTGGGTTTTAAATCCATGTCTTCTGTTAAGAAGTAAAAGTAATGTATAAAGTTTCAGTAACAGCTTCCTCATTAATAGGTAATAGTTTTAGCTTGATTACACCCTATTGGATACGCTGTCTATTTTTCATATAACATGCTGGAATATTATCATTTCGCTTAGAAATGCATTATGTATTACAAAATACGTTTGTTTACATCAAGTTATCATATTATTTGATTTAATTATGATTTCCACAATTCATAAAACATGCCAACTCTTTGAAATAAGTCAAATTTAACATTTTAAAAAATATCCCTAGATTTTCGTGATTTTGGTCACAACACGCTTCCGTAGAGAAGAAAAATTTACATAACTTGTGCATACACATTTTTTTAAATACTCAGTAAGATGTGTGGTTAATTCTGTGTCATTTTAGATAATTGTACAAAAGAAAACAATATAGAACAGTGAGTAAAAGATAAACTCTCTTTTAATGATTACTTCATTCAAAATTGTGTTTAAAATCGCGAAATTATATGACACATTTTGTCATCTGCATAATCGATTGATTGGTGGTCAATTAAATCTATCTACTGACATATTTTTCCCTAAAATTTATACAGAAGAATATAAAAATGACTAAAATTACTCACCTTTGCACTAGGAATGCTGGAATTGAAGTAACTTCAGATCTTTCAACGAAAATATAATAAACGTGACGTCACCGAACGTGCATAAAGTTAAAGTATGGTGTAATTTAAGAGACACATTTAAATATTGATTTTTACTAAATCTTTATGATCGATTTTTCAGGATTCTGCAAAGAGATTTTTTGAGGACTTTTTTCTCAAAATGTAGATAATGTTTATCTTTTATTTAATCGTGAAAACATTTCTGAAGGAATTAGTTTTACCATAATTTCTATTATGACTGGCCTATATACCATTTTTAACGACAAAATCATTGTTTTTATTTCTTCAAGACATTATTCCAGCGTTGACTTATATTAAACGAGCATTAATCAAGATTGTTTCGATACAGCTATTAAAAGACCTTTGAATCTGTTCTTGTATAATCTGTTCATTAATCTTCTTTATAAGTACACAATAGTTTTATTTTTGTTCATTGTGAATTATTTTTTTCCTTCACCGGTATTTTGGAAGGTTTTTTTGTGTTGTTGTTGTTTTTTCGGGGCGGGGGTTTAGTTTTACTTAGGTGTTCGCTCTTGCTTTAGATAATGCACGAAGTTGCACCGGAGTTCTTTCTCCAAAGGTTACGCTTGAAAAAATCCCAATATGACCTTAACAATGTTGGTACATCTTAAAACATTATTCATTTTTCGTAAGATTGAACAAATCTGAGTGTATCAGCTGTTCTCCGGGAAACAATCTAAATGGACATTTTTGTCTAAGATTTTGTCTGTAAGAACTTGTTTAAATTGGTATTGACATAATCGCATTATTCTAATTTCTTAGGCATAACCTGAAGAAATTGCGTCAATGCTGTTTTTCTTTATAATTACGTACAATCGTTGCAATGTGTCATGAAAATGAGAAAAACGGAATCCTCAAAGAACGCCCAAAACGACAAAACTGAAAATGTTGCATGCTCGCTTTGATTGAGTCTGTTATTTGAAGCAACGCGGTCACGCCGATATCAATTATCTAAAAATGGCTTCAGCTCCTTTTTGTACAAACTTAGTTGAGTTCTTCCATAATTTAGTATTTACGCTTGAGGTGGCTGTTTTAAACAGTTAATTGTTTTAATCATCTCTTAAAACTCTTTATTAGACGATGCATTTTATTCTAATGAGGATTTAAGTATTTATACAATGTGAGGTAAATTAGTTATAATGACTATGAATGTGCGAGGGTGTATGTTTTGTAACACAATGTAAAATTATCATCCCCCATGTATATGTATTTGTTTTCCGTTTCAGTGTAGTCAAATTTTTACTGTACGTAATCATTTGCTTTCACAGTTTAAACACGAGGAGAATATTATGTTTAATACATATATTGTCTGATACATATGGCATTTATAAAGCATCTATCAATTTTTCAATTTATTGTTAAACCGAACCTGTATTTAGAACCAAATATTACCGCCAAAAATTCAGATTTAATATTTGATGATTAAGTTGTTAAAAACTGTAAACAGTTCATGGTGAACATGTTCTGGATTCTTTTTTATACGCATTATTTTATTACATATTCTTGCCGCTTTTGTCACTTCGTATAATTAATTCGATCTTATTCTAAATCATTTTATTTCCGTCATACTTTTAGGACATTGCTTAATAATTTCTTAATTCTTTGATTTATGTTTTACTTTAAACTCATGATTCAAGTATTGTAAATCCGCATGTGATTTATTTTATTTTTCTGTTTCTCCATAATGATCTAAGGGATGCAATTTATCTTTGAATAAAATCAACGATAATCAGAGCAGTGAGTTTTTCTACTTTAATGCCAGAAACACCTACTTTTTATTCTTAACTGAATGTTACATAGGAAAAAAATGAACAGACTTCTTGGTATATTCCTGATAATAACAAAGGCGTGAGATATTCCACATTCCAACAGCCTGAAGGTCGATGTTTATAGCAATGTTTGAAACATTGTGCTGTCCTAAAAGAATAGTCTCGATAGGTCCGCGCGACCTAGGATCTAATCCGCTACCTTAATGCAATTAAGAGTAGGTACTTTTGTAAAAAAAAAATACTCCTTTCTTCCGGCAAACAACGGCAACTTACCGTTGTTCGATATCAAACGACTGCAGTAACATTCAAGTGGATGGTATTTACAGAAATGTGTGATACATTGTGTTTGCCCGGGAAGTCAGGCCTCAGTAGACCAGTGTGGCCTAGGTGCAAGTCCGCTTTTGAAAAAAAAAGTATTTTCGTAAAATAAGACACCATTTTACAGGACCCACCATCAACAACTCGTTTGTCCGGTCTCAATACAGAATGGTTTCTGCAAAATCTTGAAGTCTAATGTTAACAGCAATTTTGACACAATGTAATGATTCAAGGAATAAGTT